TCTCTCTCTCTCTCTCTCTCTCTCTCTCTCTCTCTCTCTCTCCTCCCACGGTCTGTCCTTTACATAATCTTATCGATTTCCTATTTTCAAGCACAAAGAAATTCCAGCATAAAATGCTTCTCATCGAACCGTTTTGTAAGTGCATATCTCGCAGTGCATATCTCTCGGTTGATCCGCTTCTTTCGAAGAGAACGGGATAAAGAGTTGGTCAGTTTAGCCTTGGGCAGACTTACCGAGGACCGCTTGCTGGGATACCCACTTCACAAATTTGATGTTGGTTGGATGAATGGCCATGTTACCATCATGTTTCCATAGAACTCTTTGCTTGAGCGAGCCTAGGGCGTTGCACAATGTGGTCAAAGTCCCAGCGGGTAGTTGGTCAGTTTGCAGATTCGAGCCCAGAGAGAAATAAATAGCACCATCCTGAGCGTTATCCAGAAACTCACGAATATCCTGGAATAATAATGAAAATTATGTTTAATTATATTTAATGAGAGCTCAGGAGTGCGACAGATACGATGTGTTTTAGTCGAAACTCTATCTTTAACGATAGACGACATAACAAAGAGGAACTCGGAAATATTTTATAATATTATATATTTAAATGGAATTAATAATAATGTAGTTTAATTTTTTATAAAGACTTAAATGGCATTATTATTTTATTTAGCAGATTTTTAATTAAAAGAATTAAATATAATGATATATAACGTGAGGCACAGCTCATATTTATTAATCACTAAATTATTATTTATTAGTCAATAAATCATAATGTCTTACGTTTAATTATAGTAATTGAATAAAATTTTGTCATATAGACGTTATTGTTTTAAAATATATTTACATGTGATGTGCTCTTCGTATTTTCAAAATTGTGTTAGCAACTGCTGCGTACGTAAATGGAACCGATTGTGCTATTAATGCGACTGATATTACTGATAATGCAACTTCCTTTGTTAATTGCGAAATCTGCTCTAGCTTCTATGAGACATGGCGATGGTAGTTTCATATGCACAATGTGTAGCCAAAGGTTTTGTCCTATTAATTGCAACTGTTCATGGATTTCGATATATTCTGGTGTATGTGTGTAAAGACAATCACACAATCCCGCGGTCACGTTCCGTATCTCGACATCGTTTGGAATCACGTGGTAATTGTAGTTATCTTCTGTTACGTATTGCCTTCGTAGTGGTAATCAGATAACTTTAAACTCTTGTAAAACCAAAAGACGGCTATAAAACTTTTAACAGCTTGTACCTTCTGTCTAATCATTTTCACTTAATTTTATTTTTTTTTATATATTTATTAATCTTTCAATTTTTCTTTTTTTCAATCTTTAATAAATTAAAAAAATACAGATTAATAAAATGTGATTAATCTAAAGTTTCGATTAAATGTTCGTCGAGTTTTAAATATTAAAAAGAAAAAAAATATTTTTTTTAATGATTGAATAATTGTTAGTCTATATTCAATCGGTTAAAGTTAAATTTTTATAAATCGACATTTTTAACAGTGCAACATTTTTAATATTTTTAACTTCTAGATTGACGCCAAGGAACGCCAACAGTTATTATAATATTATGTAAAGGCGATTCCGCGCGGTTATTTTTTCTATGTGAAGGATCTTCAACGAAATACTCTTCCAATAACATTTTTCTTGTCGGCCCTTGGGAGACTTAGAACGGTTCGCGGTAAATAGCAATGACGTTTACCTTTACGTCGCTACGCTGAGTCGTTGGTAAACTTTTACCAACTGACTATTACTGGTCACCTGTGAGAATGGTATGTGTTTTCCCAGGAGAAATCATTCTCCTCGTACGACACGCAATTTTGCCTTTCCGAGACATAGTTAGAACTGCGAGAAGTGAAGGTTTAATCGTTGTAAAAACATCAACTCTCAGATGCTACTCAAATAGGAGAAATGTCGGCGCGTTTAATTCGATAAATTGTTTAATTCTATTTTACAATCTATGTGTTTTTTTATCGTAAATATACGATTAAACGATTAACTTGAAGTAATAATGGAAAATGATGGAAGATAACTGTCAATATAAGTTGTGCCTGCACAATTATTATATTTAAGATGTTCTAAAGTGAAATTACATTGCATCGCGCGTGTCCACGAAATTGATATAATTTTGCATTATTTAATGAAATTCCCATATTAATAAATATACAGAGTAATTTAATTGTTTTAATTTTGTTATTTTTCAATACTAGATAATTGTAAATATTTGTTTTAATGTAATGTCATAAATATATATATTTATAGTCGTCATATAATAATAGATATCTCCAGTACATAATAAAACACACATTAAATATACATTATACAACATTAAATAATTAATTTAAGAAAAGATATATATTCTTACCTTAGGTAAAGGATCGGGTTTTTCCAAAATATGTAAGCTATGAACTTCAATCACATGTGGCAAAAGTGGCTTTGGATAACCAAATACGTGATTGTTGCTTAGAATTACTAGACTAAAATTTTTATCAATATCATAGACAGATGTACCGGGCATCTTCTCGTTAGCTAAATCTTGAGCTCTTGGTAGATGCCAGAATCGATAATATAATCTTGTCCATGTTGTGTAAAGGATATTTTTTATACGTTCATTGATTGTCATTCTGTCCGTGAACGGATACGTCATGTCTGGATTGAAATTAGGGTCGTCTGGGTTTCCTGTTAAATACAAGCTGTGTAATATTTTTCGATTAAAACAATATATAAAAGTATATAATAGTAATATTGTCTCGAGTTTTTTTTATCAATACACTTATGATTTATATATTATGACAAATAAAGAGGCGGTTCTTTAATTTGCTTAGCACTTACTATTTTTTTCTGTCATTTCTGTTCGGATGAATAAAGCAACGTCATTACGCGTCAACGTGTCATTACGCGATAAATTTTCTCGCAATCCAAGAAAAAGGAGCGCGATGTGTCACAATCGCGGATATCTACGTATCGAAAACTCAACTTAGTGATTGGGTTAGATCAATGGGGAATGTTACTATACTTCGATACGCGGTCCGCCTTCGCAAAACTCGCCCGGCTTTAATTGAAATATTTCAGTAGCAGCCACGGCGATCCATTTCACGGTCTATTACGTTCATCCGGAAGAGTATTTTCGGGTATCTTCAATTACGTCGAGGTAAAGGAATCGAATGGCGGCGAGCTGGCGCGTCGTCCCTCGCCACCTTTTCTCCGACGCTCTTCGGGTCAGACCGGTACAAGTTAAAGCACTACCAAGTAATCTATCCTTTTCCACGAAGACCCAGTCTCCGATTGCTCGCACTTTCTGCTTTAACGACAATTTACGTCAATTTTCGCGTGCGGTAACGATGTTCGTTGCCAACCTGGGCGGGGGCGCGAATCTCGTAAAGATATTGCGAAACGACTGCCCGACTCGTTGGGCTCGCACTTCCAAATTGTTACTTGGATTACTTGGGACGTTGCAAACAATAAAATTGCTAGGCCGATGAAATCGCAGGAGCGGCTTCGCCGCTCGTGCACGGCATGCTCACCTACGGAATCCATTACATAGGGCAAGTTGCCTACGCTTAAAAATCCAATCAACACGGGGAAGTTGTAGTGCTTTACAAGGGCGTAATAACACTGGTACCATAATTGCTCTATAATGATCGCGTCGAAGGTTTTGTTCTTGCTGTAACGAGCACATTCGAATTAGATTTCTTTTAACGAAAAATTCGTAAGGCTATTAAAGTCGTTGCAATTTTCATCGTCGTACTTATAGGGAAATATAACTTTATATTGTAGAATCTTGTAATCTGCGACTGTTAATATTTGGATTTTATTTAATATTAATGAATAATTTTCGATTATCTTGCGTTTAATTATTTTAATAACATTTTAATACAATTTAAATTATTTGAATAAAATAAATTTGTATGTTAAAATAAAATAGAGATAATAGAGATTACTAAAGTTTCCAAATAGTTAATATATTTCATTATTATGTTAAACTTACGCTAGAAGTTGATTAATAGCAGGAGTATATAATTGATGTTTACATACATAAGTTGCTCCCAACATATTGTATCGCGTAAATTCATACTTTCCCATATGTCTGTCAAAGATAAAACTGAAGATTATTAATTTGTCAAAGAGAACAGGATCCACTTAATAAATTTGCACAAAATATGATAAAATATATACCTTAATCCTGTGCAATTCATATATATATATGACGATGACAAGTCAACATTCTCATAATTTGGTGGAGGATCCTAGATAATAAAAATGAGAAAAGTTAATTACTACTATATACAAAATTTAAAAAACATTTATTTTGTAAAATACTAGAGAAGTATTTATATAATTATTTTTTATATAAGAATAGAGCAGGATAATGAAACGTAGTAAAAGTAGTGTCACTTTTAAATATTAAATAAAAATGGGTATTTAAAAGGCGAATTAGTAATCGTCGCGAATTTAAAAGAAAAAGCAATAAAGTACCATGATAGTTTGTGTGCAAGATAATTATGTTTTCGTTAGTTAGGTTTTATCTAGTTTACGTGAACAATTTAATCTCTAATTTTGCCGCGAAAGAAACAGGACCATCAAGCCGTAAGAAGACACATTCAGCAAAGAGAAATGTTAGTAGAAGTAAATTGAAGCTAAACGAAGTTTGCGTAACTTTGAACTCGAGTTTAGAAAGAGAGAGACAGAGAGATGGAAAAAGGAGAAAGCGAGAGAAGGATTATGTGAGATAGAAGATAGTGAAAAGGAGTGAGACGTCAGAGGAACGATCTGAGAGAACCTGAGAAAAGGATGTCAGAGAAAAAGCGAATAGAAATGGAGAAAGTGAAATGACAGAAGAACAAAAACGCTTGAAAGAAGTCAAATTTCTATTTATCAATGTATATTTTCTGGTTATTATAAATTAAAATTAATTTTTCATATATATCTGAGAGCGAGAATTAAATAAAGTATGTATGGATTTAGCAACAATAATTTTAGTTTGACATTTTAAACAAGCTGTTAATAATTCAAATAAGATATTCGGAATTATACTGGTCACAGTTATTTTTAAGTCTCGATAAATTACGCGGCTAAAATCGTGTAGTTTATCGAGACTTGAAAATAACTGTGAACAGTGTAACTTCTTGAATCCTTAGCGAGCACAAGGCGGCTTTGTTGTTAGTAACTTTCATAAAGATATACAAGCAAGCATTGAATCATAACGATACCTGCTGAATGAAAAGGGTAATAAATTTTCCAGTAACGAGTTTCTAATAATAAAATATTTTTTTAAGTGATATTTTATTTTATTTTAAATAATGTAATTTAATAAATTTAAAATAAAAATTACTGCAAAAGACTCACAGTTGTATTACATAAGAAATGATATCTTTGCTTTTATATTATATGTGAAACATATTAATAATATTGAAATATTCTGCGACATTTTGTAATATCTTTACGGGGTAATTTTTATTTAAGAGATTGGAATATTTAAATAAGCGATGTGCGTCATTTGTGTTGTAAAACCAGTTGCGATAAAACCAAGGGATTAGAGCGAAAAAAAAAAATTTACCTTCAAGGGAATTGTTGATATAACAGTAATGTTATGACCACGAGCCGCCAGTCCTTTCATCAATGCTCGAAAAGCTTGTTGATGGCTGTAACTTGAGCTCGGGCAAATACCGAGGATGTTGTACTCCTGGCTACGTTGAAAAGTACAGAATAATAAAATTGATAGCGATACGAGTGTCACGACGCGCATTTTGGGCACAGAACACTTTCCTTCCTGGATGCGAAACGGCCGTTCAATCTTTTAGGAAAGAATCGAGGCTACCGGTCTCTCACAGGAATTTTTAAAAAGAACTCGAGCAACGGAAAAAAGACGAGGCGGTCCGTATGAAAAATTCAATACATGTTCCACGATCAGTTTGCTTGGGGCCACGGTAAATAAGTGAACGGGATGTCCATTGGTCGGGTGCTTCTCACTCAGCTTTGCGGAAGAAATAATTCAGGCCTCGTGCGCGGACCTTATTTTTATATTTCGTCGGGAATACAAAGGCAGTATTCATAGGAGTGGGCATTTCAAGAGAGGTATATACAGTTATCTCTTAAAAAGAGTAGAGATAATCGGATATCGCAACTTTATTATCTACATTGGACAAATGTAATATGTTTAGAATATGATTGCGATATATCGAAAATGACCAAGAACGAAAGAACATAAGATATGATAGAAAAGTGCGATATCGTATCAATTCACCTAAATAACTCGTCAAAATAAGCAATTTGATAATAAAATTTATAACCGATAATAGAGAATTTGTAGGTGCGATTAAAAGAATCACAGAGCACAGATTCGATTCAACATTATATGAACTCGAGTTTCTATTTCTGTATTATTAAATATATACTAATTAGATAATAAGATTTGATGTTATTTTGGTGTTTCTGTGAGAGTAATACGTGCGAGTGCAACGTGCTGCGCATTAATATTGTGGTATCTTTCTTTTTTTTAAAGATATAAAGTATTCAAATATTACACGCAAGACGGAAAAGGTAGTAGACGAAAAAATATAAACGCGCGGAAAAATGGTTAGGTGGAGACAAATCATTCACTGACGCACCATTACCTTCGACATATGACTAGTCCTTTCTCTTCTCGTTACGAGGATAAGAGGTTCTAGGTTGAGCGTAAAAGATAACACTGTTGGTAGAAACGAAGAAATATCGGTGCCCTATTTCGAAAGGAAATTTTTATCTTTAAAGACAAAATTGTTCTTAAAGAATTAAAATCATGCTCTTAAAGAATCATACCTAATTTTTCATCATATAATCTTTCGTTATCTTTTCTGTGAAAGGAAAAAGAGATGTGTATACATTTTGTATCAAACATGCTAATTTATGAAAAAAAAATTAAAAATAACTTATACGTAAAGTGTTAAATTTTTAAGCGAGATGAAATATTTAACAATATTGAATATCAATATTATAAATAAAAAAATCTAATAATATATGAAAATATTCTTTATAAATACATTGTTTTTTCATGTATGACGTTGCAATCGCGAAAAAGTTTTATATAAATTTAAGAACACGATAAAGAAGTCTCGTATTTCTTTTTACAATAGTGCTATTTTATAGATAAAATAAAATTACACAGCGACACAGCTTGTTTCTGGTTTAGCAATGTATAAATTAAAAATTTCTGATGCTTCGCTATCGATCGGCAAAGAGAAACATTTCAGTCCGAAGACAAAAGTTTTTGTATGGCTCTCGTAAATACTGGTTTAAGCATGGCGCATTACTTAGAGCTGTAATAACGCCGAGATACAAAAAGCCTCTCGTTAATTCACGCCGCCGTGCATGTCATCTTGATGTTAAGAACTAAGAATGGTGCATCGCGAACATTGTCTACTGGAAAAGTCGCGAAAATTTGTTTTTCAAGATGGGCTGCGTTTTTTTCGCGCGAAATTTACCAAGAATAATTTTCAAGGGACGTTTTTTGAAACTATTCCGGAGATATATTCGTACTATATGCTGTATGATTATAGTTTTCCATTCATATCTTACGTTAACTAAAGTCTAAATTGTTAGTTTACGTTTGTTACGTTATAACGTATTACGTTGTAATGTGCTTTGTCAAAATTGTCTTATCCTAATAGTTTCCCTTTGATAATGCTGATGTTCTATTATATGTTACTACATGTTTACATTTGGGAGTATTCATTATTTTACATACCTCCTGAAATAATTTCGTGTGAATCTATATTATATAATAAAGTTACAATGTAACTTTAAAGAAGTCGACACTACAGGTAAATTCGAATCACGTGTCAGAGTCAGATGCATCTGATAAGGGTTGAAAGCACTTTTGATGGAGTCGCAATTGAGGTTCATCTTGAAACTTGACGACAGGACAGGAATGAACAGAAAGATGATGACTGAGAGGAGAGAACTAAGTTCCTCGAACTGCCAAGCAGAAAAGTGAGTACTTTCAACGTACTATCATTTTGTAGAGCGATTATAAGTTATCCATTGCAATTAAACGCGCGTATCTCTTGACTTAGCATCGCTTAGAACGCTCATTCGTCCCACGCTTTAAATTGCTCTCATTTAAAAAAGTACGATATATTTATAATGTGGCGGTATGCTTGAAACAATTTCACGAAATTATTGAGTATCGACGATATCAATGTACCGAGAATATCCGTATATCAATAATCAAATTTGACCGGTCTCATGACGATCGCAAACTCGCTCATATTTATACCGCATGTATTTTCCGCGAGTCTCGTGCGAGCGTTAATCCGCCTGTTGCGGCTGTCGCGCGTGACAAGATGACAGGAGCCAAGCCTGGTTGGATCCGAATGGTCGATCGGACGGACCAGAAGGACATTTAGGATATCTGTCATTTGCGGTTTAAATTACTCCGTGAATAATACACAGCGTGTTCTGGACTCTGCGCGTGGCGCAACGGTGGCGGGAGGATTACGTGGTGAGGGTCGAAAGGGAGGGAGGGGAGGGGCTTGGAAGAGGAGGCGCGCCGGGGTAGGTCGTGCGCCTGCTTTTGTCAAGCCGCAACACGAGCCGCGGCTTTAATACAATACAATACTGTCGAGAGGGTGGAGATGAGAGGTAGTGAGCCGGAGGAAGAGAGGCTGGCGAGGAGATTACATTTCGCGGGCGCGAGTGCAAGCGAGAGAAAGTTCGGTACGATAGCAAAATGCTGTGTGTGTCAGTAAGTAACCGTCTAGATTTGTACGCCCCCTCGCCATCCTGGAAAACCCAACAGACTGCCAGAGGATGTGTCAGATTCAGCCGCGTATGTTTTGCAAGAGCCTTACTACCCGCTTCTCCTCTCTTTTCTCGCTACCTCCCTCCCTCCCTCCCTCCCTCCTTCCCTTCCTCCCTTCCTCTTTGCTGTTTCGTATCCCTTTCTCTCGTGTCACGTTTCATAGTTATAGCGGCATAGTTACAGGGACGGATTTATATGAAAACTGCTGAAATTTAAGCGTTAGGGGTTTAGGGGTGAAACTTATGACACACACACACACACACCTATCATAAGAATACTTGGAAAAATATTCTGTACGAAAAAATATCTATTAACTTTTTAAAAGTTATCTATTATGTAAAATAAAGATATGGATTCTTTTTAATATTTCCTTACTTACTAATTAGCTACTTTCTGTATTGTTCTGTACTGAAGTATTATATTACTTTTGAGTTTTGAAAACTCATCACTTGTCTCTGATTACTGAACTTTTTTCAAATCTGTGAGCTCAGAGATACTAATCAGTTTTTCATATTATATATGGGAAAAAAGCAAAAGCGTGAGATTTATGAGATCTTCTTCAGCATACGTTTCTTTAATTATGCGCTTTCCTTGAAGATTATTAACCCGAAAAATCAACATCCATCCCTGTACACTTGTATACTACTCACTTGCAAATCTGTCGCTATAATTCTCCCACCTCACGCGGGCCATCCTTCTCGCGAATTCTGAGTTTTTGCAATGTCGCTTATGCAAGCGAAATCCCGGGTATCTGCGGCTAATTTCGCGGACCCTAGCGAATTTCCTGCACGGAAATCTTCCGCCATATGGCGCGTGGTTCGTGAATCCCCGCCGCTCGCTAATGTTTTGTTCTGGATCGTACAAAGTACGGCTGATTTTGTCATTACTGTATTCTATGTAGCATGAAATATCTGCAAGTTTAATGTATCTCTTCAGGATTCTGACAGGTGCTTCTTCTATACGCAATTAAGTCATTTTTGAAATTGTGAACAATGTAGATAGAATAATTAGCGTACATTATCTCGTTCACTGATTCGAGATTATTAATGCTTCAATATTTTTAAATAAAAAAAAGATTTTAAAATTAAAATCTAATATATGTGCGTATATAATAATGTGCATATGGGAGCTTGTTGATTTTTTTGGGGGCGAATGGGATAAGAATTTCACGAATTTTGTGATGAAAACTTTTCTAGAATTAATTACAGACTTAGTAGCGTAGCTTATACGATTATGTACGTGTAAGTATATATTTTAACCAAGGATTCTTTGAAAATTCCTAGATGAGTTTATGACATGGCTAATGAGATTACTTCTGGTCACCGAGCATTATAGTCGAGAACTCGCTGCATTTCTGAGTCGCGCCAAGGGTTACCGGAGTTTTGCAAAAGGGTTTCGTAGATCTCGTTGCGTTTCTCGCGCAAACTTAAACGTAACGCCAAGTTAGAAAAAAGATAAATATTTACGAGCACTCCGTTACGCATTATGCAATTTTTATTCGGACTGACATGTAACGTCAGTCAAAAATAAATTATTATATATAAACAAAATTATAATTATTTATAAATTTTAAATTATATAAATTATTGCAGATAGTAAAATTAATTATTATATACGCATATGTAGCAATGATTTATATGTAGTCGATATATATTATGTCTTGTTTTTCTTAATAATTTTAAAAATAAATAATGAGGTTATTTAATTTTATTAATATTCTGTAAGCTCAGGACATTTACAATCGCTCGAAACTCGCGGTGTACAACATCTGTCATCGGCAAGAGACAAATCTGTTGCGGAAATGTATTTTGCAACGATCAGAGCCGCCTCGAAACGCGAGATATCTATCGGGACTCCATCGGAAGAACGTTTCGCGCACTTGATCCATTTACGCGATGAGCTTTTGGCGCAGGTGACAATAAGAAACCAATCGAGTATGTGAGAGTATATAGCTGTATATACGCCTATATAGACGCCTAACTGGATTCTACGTAGTCGAGGCGATTTCGCGAGCAGAAATAGAACTCGCCGAGCAAACGATAACTGCTCCTTGGAGATGTCGACAGAACCGAACTCTGTAATTCAAGATGCGCTTTTGCACATATCGTTTCAAATAGTTATCGACCTCGGCCGACATAATATTTTCATTATTGGAATCCTTTATGCAAAGCGATTTAGTATTGGGAACAGTAAACATTATTTAGTCTGTCCTTTGGTCTCCAGTCGATCACTCGTGCATATTAAAACAAGTTAGCTCGTGAAAGTTTGAGGGAATACTTTTGTCGCGATTTGTAATACTTTTCCAAATTGAATCTCGTTTGCGCAGATAAATTATAAAGACATTGCATATTTTTAATCGCTACTAGTTAATTGTAACTTTTTAGAAAAGAAGCAATTAATCTTTCATTTCACATATAATTAAACATATATGAAGAAAACTCTAATTTATAACAAGAGGATTAGAGGATTGAGAGTACAATAAAAATATAAAGATTGTATTGATGATATGGATAATAATTCTTATGTTTAAGAAGAAATCGATTTTATTTAATTTTACGCGTATTATAGAACACGCGCGTGTACTCACTACGTGCATATGTTCTTTTTTTTCTATTGCGAAATGAATTACTCCCATTTTTAATCCTTTTCCACGGTCGGCGTATCTACTTCTTCACGGCCGCACATCTCTTAGAGAGCAACGTATTGTGCTTCACA